GTCAAGCGTAGAAAAGAAAACAATCTAGTTACGATCGTAGTTGTACTCTTCCGTGAAGAAAATGTCTACCAAAAATTACTGCCACTTGTACTACGATCGCTCCGAAGTTCTCAAGGTTGTAGGCGATCACGATGAACCCTCCCCTCCGATGTGATAGATATTCCCCTGCATCTCCAAACTTGTCTTCCACTCAAGTAAACTTTTTCTGTTACCTTGTATGGAAGATTTACAGTTTCCCTTGCGCAGGCATATGATTCCTCCTTCAATGGATGGTAGATATGAAATCGATCGCATTGTTGCCCACAATTGGTTCAAAGATAGGCCTGGACCGGGAAGAAAACAGGAATAATACAAGGCACGGTTCTGCAGACGGAAACTACCAGAAACTGTTCCTGACATAGTGCCAGGTTACGAGAAAAGTCTCCGAGGAATTCGAGAAGCAAGAAGAAAAGAAAAGTGAAATCCGTTAGTCAATCTCCGAAATGGGACGGCGAGAGTGCAAGAAAACACGAGTCAAAGGGCTTTGGAATCGAGTCGAGGGTGGCGATTTTCAGTATACGTCCGAGTTCTGGAGCCAAAAACCGCTGTCTAGGGTCAGGAGTCGTGTACGACGTCCCTCAGGTCAACTGCGCTCGGGTAGGGGCTCAAAAGTACCCCCAGAACCTGCAAAAGACACCCCAGGGCCTAGAGGGCAACTTTTGCCCCCAGAACTCGGACGCCGACTGAAAGACACGACCCTGGGCTTGATTCCAAAGCCCTTTGACTCATGTTTCCTTGCAGGCGCCAGGCAAATGAGGGATAATCGGAGATAAAAAAGGGCAATCAGTGAAGGAGAGTCAAAAGTTAAGCAGATAAAAGAGAGTTAGATAAAAGGAGGAAGAAAGAAGACAACACTCTAGATTGACGAGGAAGGAAGAAAGAAGACAACACTCTGGATTGACGAAGTACTGCAGAAAGAATGCTACGAGGATAATGAATGATAGAAATGACAGCAATACAGCAGACACAGTGAAGGTCTGTTGATGCTGAGAGGCCAACACCTGCAATCTAGGTTATCTACAAGAAAAGGCAGGCGAGACTGGGATAATGAATGGGGACTCGAAGGCAAACTACCGTCTTCACCCAAAAATAACGCCCGGGCATTACATTCTACTTACCCTTAAAAAGTCAGATTTTGTGTTTGACTCACTTTATTTTTCGAATATGTAACGCCCTTTCGATACAACATCCGGGTGTTCGCCCGGGTGTTATATTCGAGTAGAACACCCGGCCGTTTAATTCAAATCTGGCATGGGCACAATGACTTGTCGGGTTGGGGGGGAAGAGGGGGGGGGGGGGGGGGGGGGGGGGGGGCATACCTGGGGTTTAAAGGGGGTTGAAAGGGGTCTTGACTTCACAGGGGTGTGTTAAACTGTGTTTCGGTTTGAATTTTCTATTTCCTTTTTCTTATCTTCAAATTTATAAGGAATTTAGACGCTTCCCTCTCAGCCAAAAGTTGGTTGCATTGCAATTCTAGACAACATCTTTTTTTAACACAACTTTCTGAATTCTTTTTTAAATAATTTCGGGCGTCATAAACGAAGTTCCTGCCAATTTATTGAATATAACGCCCGGGCAATGTAAACAAATATAACTCCAGCCATGCATTATATTTGTATACAACACCCGGACTTCATTTTCGGGTGAAGATGCCAGGAACCGTTTCGTCGGGAATAAAACAGATGCAGGGAAACCCACTCTTGGAGGCTGCTTGCATCACCTCCAATCGATGGTTCTTTTTTTGAAAAGCCAGATGCAGTGAAGGTCTGGTGATGCCGAGACGCCAAACTCTGCAATGTGGGGTCATCTTTGAGAAAAGGCACCCAGAACCGGGTCAATGGGGAGTGCTGTCTTCCCCTGAATGGAAAAGCACAGTCATTATTATAGCCGTACTTTGGGCAACTCGCTGTCCACATACAGAGATAATGACAGTGCATTATACTGGGGTGAAGATGGTAGTAGCACACACGTTAGGAGCCGTTTGCACCGTGGGGCACTGGCCCCCGTCAACAGCACTGACAAATTACCAAAGAAAAAGATTGTAAAGCGACAACGACAGCCCTGCTTTCCAACATGTGCTGCTCGCCACTGGTGGAAAAGGAGCCAATATGGAGGTCGACGTCTGCAATTTCAGAGAGCCTCAAAGGGGCAGCTCGAATCGGAAGCCCATATTTAAAAAAAAAAAAGAAAAAGAAGAAGGGAGTAAGAAGCGTGGGTCTGTAATTATGATGTATTGTTTCTGTGACTTGCCGGTGGAATAGGAACCGGACTGATGCTCCCCAGAATGGAAAAGGAGCCAGGACCATAAGGCCCTGTTTTTTGTAAAAAAAAAAAAAAAAAAAAAAAAAAAAAAGCACCCTAGAACCCCTAACTGTTACAGCTGGCCTGGTTACCAGGAGGCTCACCCTTTTTTCAGTCGGTCAAACCAATGGCTACAGCTTTCTTTTTCCCCCCTCCAAGTACAGGGGCACCGGGTTTAAGAGATGAAACAGCACACAGCAAAGGAAGATCAATAATAAACAAAGAAAAAAAAAAGGACGATTACCATGTCCCACAAAAAAGAAGATTAACAATAAAAAAAAAGAAGAAAAAAAAGATGAAGAAGCAGAAGAAAAAGAAGATTAACCAAAAAAAAAAAAAAAAAAGATTAGCATGTCCCACTTGCAAGGAAAATGAGCAATAGCGAGATGACAAAATCCAGATTGCACAATCACATTGAAAGCCAGAAAGGACCCCAGTGTCCAGAAAGCAGCATTGCACCAATATAACACCAATGGAGAATCATAACACTGAAAACCGAATATCAATGAGAGCTTGCTCCCACCATCACCAACAGAAGTATCCAGGCCCTTCCCCCTACTTGGTGCTCGGCGCCCAGCCTACTCCCTACACAGCTGCTATCTGCCTACGAATTGACCATGCAACTGTTGACGTCAGCAGCCAACGAAGCACTTGAAGATGTCGACCAATGCAGACCATCGTCAATACCAGGTATGCGCCCTTTTACATCATCATCATCATCATTTTCCCCCTGCCTTCTTCCTCATCTTTCACCCATGTCTTCCCGCTGTACACCCGAAGACCACCCATGTGCCTTACTGTACGTCCAAGCCCCAGCCAGCTATGGAGGCTGGGCTATGGCGCTGCCCTCAGCAGCGCCCTCCCTCGTACACGACCGCACGTGCACAGCACCTTGCCTTAGCGCAAGCAGCAGCCCGTGAGAATCCGCTCCAGCAGCGCTGCCGCTAGCTTGCAAGTGCCCGAATGAGTCTCTAGGCAGCGAGCTCTTTCCTAAATGGAAAGAGTCTGCCTGCCCTGCGGCCTCGCTGGGCTGGGCCTGCGCCCAGAAGCTTCCGGTAGGCCCCAGGAGGCTGGGCCTCTGCTGCAGCTGCTGGGCCTCGTTCAGTTAGGCTTCCCAACTGTCTGTGTATATTGCTGCGAATCCAGCCCAGGGCCTGCGTTTCAGAAAGGCCTGGAAGGCCGTGGAAATTCTTTGCTGCTCGGGGCCTGCTGCTCGGGGCCTGGGTTCCCTCAACCAACTGACGCGACGCAACTACCTGAATCCCAAATACGGAATTGACAGCATTGGGCCTCTCGTGATTCGTTAGGCCCAACTTCACTTAAGGCGGGCACCCATGTATACGGGGCCCCTCAGTCCTGCGGAGGAGTTCAATCCTCGCACACTAAAACAACAATAAATGGCTTCTGCAAGTCTGAAATGACTCTGAATCCCATACGAACGTGAGATATGATCTCAAGAGAAACCTGCCCCACAGGACGCATCTCCAAGCACAAAAATTCCTCCTGTTCTTGCTATAGTGCCGCCAACCACCTCCTCCTAAGCAGACCCCTGCTGGCTGAGGCTGGCAGGCTTGCTTGCTGCTTCTTTTTGTCTTTTTCTTTTTCCCTTGCTTGCTTCCTAGGTTCACTGTGCTCCCTCTTTGTTGAGCTTCTCCATAAATGGCAGAAAAGTCGAGAAAAGTTCAGAAAATGCATACTTTATATTTATTATTTACCTCCCGTCTTTTGCTTTCTCTTCCTTCTTCTTTGGGAAAGATGGGGGAAGGCTGGAGGTGCAAGGTGTAAGGGGCGAGGTGGGAGGCAGAGGAGGGAGAGGAGGGGGGGGGAGGGCAGCACATGGGGAGGGTTGACTTAACTTACATTGTTTATGATATTCACGTCAGCTGCGTTCTTAACGAGGAATTCAACAACATCGAGCCTTCCAGCAATTGTGGCATAATGTAAGGGAGTGTTGCCGTTATCATTTCTGCAGTTAATGTCATTTAAGCCGAGCCTCAACAGATAGTCCGCACATTTGAGGTGTCCATAGTGACATGCCCAATGCAATGGCAAAGTCCCAGCTTGCAATCCCCTCTCTCGCGGATCACAGCCAGCCTCAACCGCCTCCTCGAGAACCTCCAACTTTCCCTTACGGCATGCTTCATGCACAAGAAGTTCCGTCATCTCTGCACAAGGGAAAGAACGAAAGAGCAAGAGAGAGAGAGAGAGAGAGAGAGAGAGAGAGAGAGAGAGAGAGAGAGAGAGAGAGAGAGAGAGAGAGAGAGAGAGAGAGAGAGAGAGA